TTTTCATAGTCCTAATAAAACGCTCGGCTACGTTTGCGTGTGTCTTCGTGACGATGTGGTTTATTCCTTCACTGTTGAAGAAATCCTGAACTTGATTTTTAGTTGCAAACGCTCCGTCGTCATCAGAATACACAGACATCGGATAACCCATCTTTTTAAAGCTTGCTCTCAACGCCTTCAAAACGTGCTCTCCGTCTCTTTCCTCCATCGGTATTACATCAGCTAATTTACTGAAGATGTCAATCACGACTAAAGCATACTGTGGTACGTTCTTGTCTTTTGCTAAAGGTGACATATGCATTATGTCTATTTGATATTCATATCGCGCGAATGGAGCGGTATAGGAATTAGTGCCTCTATAATTTTTGATTTGTTTATTCGGTTGTTTCTTTAAGAAAGACTTTACATCGTCTATTGTTATTGATGGGTCTTCTTCCTTTGCCTTCTTGTGTGTCGCTTGTGTGCTTCCGAAACCCTCGTCTAAGTCGTAATAGATGTTGCTGATTATTTGGTCTTTTGTTAATCTCGCCATTATATTAAATTGTTAGAAAATATTTTTTCAATAAAAACCCCGCCCCTTAACATAAAATAAAAAACTACTTAAAGAAATATTAACTTATTATATTAAGTGAAAATATGACTGAAAATGTCGGAGTGATTGCTGACTTATCAAACTGGGTGCTATCAGACGAAGAAGATGATGATAATGACAGTTATAAAAAGGAATTAGATGACGAGTTAAACAAAATAAAGGATTTCGTCAAAAGACACCCTTTGCCATCAGTTGATGAAAACGAAGAATTCTGGAAAGATGTTATTAACAGGTTTAGGGATAATAGCGGATTAAACTTGATGACAATATACTCATTTGTTAGGTTTGACATCATGAAAGAAATGTATGAAAACCTAACAGATGAAAACATCATAAAAGACTGTGGTAAAAAGTTAAACCGAGATGGGCAGTTTAATGCTATGATTATTAATCACTATATCTTATCGGGAGCGATACGGAAACTAAACACAGAAGACAGTCTAGTAGATGGACAGATGCGAATTATTGAATTCTGGTGGGATGGAATAGGTGGATGGAAAGCGTGAGTGATTTAGTTTAATGATATTATTCAATTATAATATGATTAAACCTAGTTTTTATAATCTAACAATGAGGTTAAGACATTTAAATTAAACCTGAAACCCAGACCAGCCGACCAGCAACCCCTAGCCAAAACTACTTAAAGAGAAAAAGCCTTATATATTAAGAGAAAAATGAGTAAGGGTAAAATGTCAGAGAATAATTTTATGGATGAGAATTGCGCTAGCTTACCTGAAGGCTTAGTTTCAATCATCACTACTTACATTAATGGTAGTGAAGGGTGGCGAAGACTGAAACAATGTGATGCTTTAAGAGAATTACAAAGGAAATGGAAACCGTCTATTTACACTGAACGAGTAGGAGAAAGTAGATATTATGTTGAGATTCGCAATAAATGTTTAAAAGGTGATAAAGCGCTTTCATATGCGTTGAAACCACCAAAAGAATTATTAAGAATGATGAAGTATGATGATGAAATACAGGTTGGAATAGAAGTTAGTTCGAAAATTATGTATCATAATAATATTTGCAGATGTCGTTATTATTCATCATCTAAACAGAATAAGATTTCAAGTAGAGCGTCATTGCAATACCATATTGAACAAGCAGTTGAAGAAATAAAACAGACTATGAAACGAAACGAAATCATTACTATCGAACATGTTACAATTGAAATTTATAGAAAACAGAAACAATGATTTCATGGTTTAATCATAATATTTAATTATAATATGATTAAACAGTGTAAACTTTTATAACCTTTCATTATACTGTAATTTTAACCTATAACAAAATTTCATTAACAAAACATATATCAAAACAAATACACCACCAACGCCCCAGAACTTGATAACTACTAAAAGGGCTACCTCCTTCAAATGAAAAAAATGTCGGCCCCCAGCCCAACAATGAACAAGGCAACAAAAACCCAAATGTTCCACCTCTAACAAAACGATAAATAAGCTCCCCAAAAACACCCTTTTAAAAACGGATAAGGTGGTTAATAGGTTTGAGATGAAAGTAAAAAGCATAACAGGCAACCATCAACAGGCCACCCCTCAGCTTCACCCTTTCTCCCATTTTTTGGGGGGGGGTGTCTTTTGGGGATGTCTTTGGGGTATATCTCAGGGAATGTCTTTGGAGAGGTTTTTTGCGGTTGTCTTGGGCAATGTCTTTGGGAGATGTCTTTGAGGATGTCTTTGGGGATGTCTTTGCGGATTTTTTTTTGGGGGGTGTCTTTTGGGGATGTCTTTGGGGTATATCTCAGGGAATGTCTTTGGAGAGGTTTTTTGCGGTTGTCTTGGGCAATGCTTTGGGAGATGTCTTTGAGGATGTCTTTGGGGATGGCGGAATGTCTTTGGGAGATGTCTTTTGGGAGGATGTCTTTGAGGATGTCTTTGCTTTGGGATTTTGTCTTTGGGGGGGGGGGATGTCTCTTTGGGGATGTCTTTGGATGTCTTTTGGGGATGTTTGGGGTATATCTCAGGGAATGTCTTTGGAGAGGTTTTTTGCGGTTGTCTTGGGCAATGGTCTTTGAGATGTCTTTGAGGATGTCTTTGGGGATGTCTTTGCGGATTTTTTTTTGGGGGGTGTCTTTTGGGGATGTCTTTGGGGTATATCTCAGGGAATGTCTTTGGAGAGGTTTTTTGCGGTTGTCTTGGGCAATGTCTTTGGGAGATGTCTTTGAGGATGTCTTTGAGGATGTCTTTGCGGATTTTTTTTGGGGGGGGGGGTGTCTTTTGGGGATGTCTTTGGGGTATATCTCAGGGAATGTCTTTGGAGAGGTTTTTTGCGGTTGTCTTGGGCAATGTTTTTGGGAGATGTCTTTGAGGATGTCTTTGGGGATGTCTTTGCGGATTTTTTTTTGGGGGGTGTCTTTTGGGGATGTCTTTGGGGTATATCTCAGGGAATGTCTTTGGAGAGGTTTTTTGCGGTTGTCTTGGGCAATGTCTTTGGGAGATGTCTTTGAGGATGTCTTTGAGGATGTCTTTGCGGATTTTTTTTGGGGGGGGGGGTGTCTTTTGGGGATGTCTTTGGGGTATATCTCAGGGAATGTCTTTGGAGAGGTTTTTTGCGGTTGTCTTGGGCAATGTTTTTGGGAGATGTCTTTGAGGATGTCTTTGGGGATGTCTTTGCGGATTTTTTTTTGGGGGGTGTCTTTTGGGGATGTCTTTGGGGTATATCTCAGGGAATGTCTTTGGAGAGGTTTTTTGCGGTTGTCTTGGGCAATGTCTTTGGGAGATGTCTTTGAGGATGTCTTTGGGGATGTCTTTGCGGATTTTTTTTTGGGGGGGTGTCTTTTGGGGATGTCTTTGGGGTATATCTCAGGGAATGTCTTTGGAGAGGTTTTTTGCGGTTGTCTTGGGCAATGTCTTTGGGAGATGTCTTTGAGGATGTCTTTGGGGATGTCTTTGCGGTTGTCTTAAGGTTGATGTCTTCGGGGATGACTGGGGATTCTTTGGAAGGTGTCCTGGGGGGATGTCTTGGCGTGGGCGCTTGGGTTCTCTGTTACGTAGTCGCTTGTTTGCATTCGGGTTCGTGGCCTGTATCAGGTGCACTTGATTTGCTTTGTTGGTTTTGTTCAACTTGTCATTTGCTGGTATGATTGAGTGATTTGTTGACTGTTGTGTGCTTTGATGATGCTGATATGTTGGTGGTTGGTTTGAAATATTGTGTGGCTATCTTGTTCTGATGTGCTTGTTGTTGAATGTTCTGTCGCTTGTTGAAAAATACTTGAATCGGAGAGTTCTGAAAGATCTCATGTTGGTATTTCTTTCGGGGGTAGCTGTGTAGCGGGAAGCAGCCGCCTAGGAAGCCATGTGCACCATAGAACAAGCAAACACGACCACCACCACCACCACCAAGCCACCACCACCACCACCACCACCACCACCACCACCAACAACAACAACAACAACAACAACAACAACAACAACAACAACAACAGCAACAACAACAGTAACAACAGCAGCAACAACAACAACAACAACAACAACAACAACAACAACAACAACAACCAAGCGATCTCAGCGCAACCACATCCCTACAAGCACTGCAATGGGAAGTGACGCAGAATCAGCAGTAGCCTTACCACCATTAAAACGCCCCACAGGGGGCGGTCCGCCAACCATTGCCGGCAGGGGAGCTACAAGCCCGGATCAAATATGTCGTTGCTTAACATTGGTAAACATTGAGCAGGCGAAGCACATTACGCTGAAGCATTGCACTTCCAAATTTTCTTGTTCCCCAATTGGCGCGTCCAGCTATGGGGTCAAACACTCGTGTGCGCTGGTCCGATGGCGGCTGGATCAGGGGCCTGCGGTGTCCCGTTGTCCCTGAAAGAATTTCGGTCAGCTCTAGTGTCCCGGTCGGTGTCCCGGTGTCCCGGTTGGTGTCGCGTCCCAATCGCTGTCTTGGCTGGTGTCCGGTGTCTTGCTGTCTCAGTTGGTGTCCCTGTGTTCCGGCCGTGTCCGGATGGGTGTCCCAGCCAATGTCCCGGGTCGGTGTCCCGGTCCTGCCCTCGTCGGTGTTTCGCTGTGCCGGTGTGCCGGACGGTGTCCTTGTCGTGTTTCGGTCGTAACCTGATCGGTGTCCCAGCCAGTGTCTCGGACTCCAGTTGGTGTCGCGGTGTCGCTCGACTTGTTGCATCGTGTCGGTCGATCGGTGTCCCGATTATTGTCCCGGTCGGTGTCCCGGCGCACGGGTTGTCCCAGTTGGTGTTGTCCCGGTTGGTGTTTCGGTGCCCCGGACAGCGTCCTGCTGTTTTAGATGGTGTCCCGGTGTGCAGGTTGGTGTCCTTGTGTTTTTGTTAATGCGCCGCTATCTTGGTTGTGTTTCGGAGGTGCTTTGGTTGGTGTTGCTATTGATGTTGCATACTTGACGCATAGACGATGCGTCGCCGAGTCAGGGCGGGCTCTTCAGCAACACGAAGCTTCAGAAGTGGCAGGCGGGCAAGTCGGGGTGAGTTCTACCATTGAAGCCTGAGCCCTCGATCCAAGATTACACCACCAAATGCCCCAAGCAATTGCCCCTGAACACACCAGACAAATCATCAAACAACAGTGACATTTCCTTGGGAACAGACCTCAAACATGCGTTTTATTTATGACAGCCCAAGAGCGCATTTCGTAGACTGTTGCTGGCCAAAACCGGCATCTCTCAAGCAAAACCAACTCTGCAGGCGGTGTTTGTGAACAGCCTCATAAAGCATCCTACGAGAAAAAAACACACCCGAAAGCATATTGCCCACCTCGAGTCATATATGCAAGAGCATGCGCACAGTGCAAAGAACACAAAGTCACGACATGCAGGATATTTCAAAGAACGTTTGCAAGTCCAATAAGTGTTCGTGCGTTGAACATGTGTCAGTGCAAGGAACATGTCTCTGTGCCAGTGTCTATGTGCGCAGATCACTGCGCAAGTTTGTTTGTGCAAGTCACCAGGTGGCCCACTGGAGCCTTGGAGGGTTACCCATGGGGCAGCTTGTTTGTGCTTGGAAGTGGTCACGTTTTTTTGTTCAACGCTTTTGTCGTCTCACCCTCCTCTTTGTATCTCCTCTCTGCAAAACAGCAAACATCAAATAGAGTGAAAGTAAAACGAAAAGAAAGACGAAGTTGAATGGCACAGACTTCTCCATTCGCTTCGCCCTTCACCGCTTCGTTCCAGCTGCTTCCTCATGTCTCCACTGTTCCCTTCAGTCACCTAAGGCCAACCCTGCACCAGCTCAGCCGTCGATCTTCTGCCACGAGCCCGGTTGTCGGATTCTGGGATGTCCTTGTTGCAAAAGGGTTGGCAAGCTATGTTCACACGTTCCCATCTGGGGTTGAACAAACATCATCACTGAGGCAAGCCCGCTGTGAACCGCTGCGATTTGGAGCAGCGGGTTGCGCGTTTGGGCGTGGGCGGCTTTGGCCTGGTCACCTTGGAGGCAGGGCTCAGGGCTGTGGAGGGGTTAGGTGGGGTCTGTGGTCTCCATGATGTGTGGAAGGGCTTTGTTTTTTGTCCTTGAAAGGACATCGAAAAGTGGTTTTACTGGTGATCTGATTTTGGATTATCGAATCAACGCCTGTTTTGTGGCAAAGGACACAAATGTATCATGTATTGCCGTGCTCCGTGGCTCAAGTAAAACAGGTTAGCTTGCAGCTGAGATTTTGTGGGGCTGTTTTTGCCGCGAGAAAAAGCCCTTTGTGGCGGCACATTTCTCGCTGGAAAAGGCGCGCTCTACAGCATCCAGGTGTAGGTATAATACCTTTTGACTGGAAGATCGTAAAATTGGCTCATACTTTTCAAGGGGGTCGAGCCTACCACCTCGTAACCATTCAACATATTTTTGGTGCATGGCCCAGCCCTTGAGCAGTCGACGCAATGTTGGTTTTGCCATTGAGTATGCCTCAGAACAGTGGTGCCCTAACGCGGATGTAGTGCACCCTACCGTGCGGGGATACCCTCATTTTGAGACAGACACGTTTACTCAGAGACAAGATTCAATCTGGAGCTGGCAGCCGGGGCAGGCCGACCGGGCTGGCAACCTTTACGCCTGACACCAAGCCTTTCCCGAAACGTTTTGTTTTGGATTTTGTTGAATGTGTCTCACGTTTGCTAGTGTTTTTGATTGGTGTGTTTTGGCATTTTCTGGAATGTTTTTGTTTTTTTTGCTCGGGATGTTTTTGTATGTTTTTGAGTTTGCCGGCATTTTTTAAATGTGTTTGACATTTTCGGCATGTTGTTGAATGTTTTGAATTTTCTGGCATTATTTTTGTTTTTTTGTGTTTTTTCCGGCATTGTTTGAATGTGTTTTTTTCCGGCATGTTTGTTGAACAGCGGACTCATTTACTTGTCCCCCGAAGAATCTTTTTCCACAAAAGGCAGGGCCATTTTGCGCCGCGAGAAACCTAAGGCCCTTAAGGCCGTTAGCAAAGGCCTCCTGGCTGCTTGCCAGCTGGAGTCGGGGAGCCCGGACCGATGTTCCAAACGTGCTGCAGGGGGAGGGACCCCAACAAAGGGTGGCTGGAGGAGGTTTGAGATATCCTTCAATACTTTTATAACGATCCTCGATAAGATAGAAACAATTCAGCTTTCGGCAAAATTCGCAGCCATCACCTCCGGCGGAAAGATAGAAAAGTTCCGACTGCGTGCGGTCAAAAAACTCACGGAAGAGAAAACAAAGACTAAACTGTCCGAATTGTGAGACTATGAGACGTGCCCTGTGTCGACCGTGCCAACATCTATTTTGGTGGCAACCTTGGCATCCCATCTGTCACTTAAACAGAAATGGGTTCCAGGAATGAAAAGCGCCCAGCAAATAGTCAACGTTTAATGTGCGCTTGGTGGGTATGTATTAAACCAAAACTTAGCCTCTATAAATAGGGGTGTCTGTCGTTTTCGCCGTACCCGAAAATAAAAGCGTAAACAATCACGTAAATAAATCAAGCTTTCTGGTTGGCCTGGCCCTTAATAGGAAGAGTCCGTAAATAATATGGTAAATAGTGAGGTAAATTAGTTGTAACTTATTTTGGCTTGCCCGATCTTGAGTGACCCTGCGTGAGCTGGACTTAGTGTCCCTCATTGACAGGGATGTGTATTGGCGAGAATCTTCCCCTTCGCGAATTTAACCTGCTCATATCACTGAAGGAAGGCAAAGCGTCATGAGTCATGAACCATTGGAAGAGCCGCGACAACTTTGACATGAATGTTCATGCGTACTGGTAGCTGCGAGCCACAGTTTTTGCTCGCGAGCATGTGTCGCGTTGGCAAAGCCAAAAAGCTCCGGACGCAAAAGCGCGTGCGCCCATGCTTGCGCTTGGGTTGCGTTGCCATGCTAATAAGCAGCCAGAACCCCCACCAAGATACATGTCAATTTGTGTTTAGTGATCATGAGAAAGGAGATGTTGTAGGAACCGAGGACTAGGAACACTGCGTCTTGTCAAAGAACGTCCGGTATGTCCGGTCATTGGTTATGTCAGCTGCGTGAACAACATTAAGAATATTTGAGGGCGCTTTCCAACAATCAAGACTTAGTCAGCTATTTGTTGGGCGACCTTGCGAGGGCCAATCTTGAAGAACATCAAGATTAACGTCTATATTCCTAACATGCACCTGGCGCACAGACACACAGACACCACCCACACACACAAACACACATGCACACACGACTCTACGAGGTTGTCTCCGCGTGGCCGCTGATCCAACCAGTCAGGAGTTGCAAAGGACGATTTTAAGCCTTGCCTTCTTGCAGCTTTGCTTGCCGCGTTGTGGTACTGTCGCGCGTTGTTTTTTTTTTTTCCTTTGCCGCGGCTTCGCCTTGTTTGTCCGCAAGACCCAGGGAATCCAAGAACCGATTCCAGAAACCCAGTTGAGCAAAGGCCGGAAAAGAGGAGCGATCGATGCTGTCACATGTGCACGCAAGTTCTGCGGACGGACCTCCATGCTCAAAATGTGTCCCCTGAACGGTTCAGAACGGTTCAGCCAGCCTTTTTCTGCGTAAATGGTTGCGTAAATTTTCGCGTAAATTTCAGACAAGTCTTTGCCTTTTTGTGCTTTGAGATTTCGGATCGCTTGCGATGTTCCGATGCCGGCCTGACCATTTACCTAGGACTAGGAACCGCCAGCCGCGTGCTCACGAACCGTTCCGAGGAACGGTGGCAACCAAACTGCATGCCCCTGAACCGTTCTGAACCGTTCCGAAAGCATTGGAACGCTTGCCCCTGAACCGTTCTGAACCGTTCCGGAGGCATTGGAACCCATGCCCCTGAACCGTTCTGAACCGTTCTGGAGCCCATCTAGCAAGCAGCGCACAGAGCAGGCGTATAGTTCAGAACCGTTCTGAACCGTTCTGAACCGTTCGTCACTCAAGCTTCCCAGGAACCGTTCTGAACCGTTCAGGAGGGATTGCAGCATCATACTATGAACCGTTCTGAACCGTTCAGCAGTCATTGCAGCGGCATACCCTGAACCGTTCTGAACCGTTCAGGAAGAATTGCAAGCAGCATGCCCTGAACCGTGCTGAACCGTTCAGGAGGGATTGCAGCATCATACCCTGAACCGTTCTGAACCGTTCGGAGACATTGGAGCTGCGTACCTAGGAACCATTCCGAAGATTGCAACAGCATGCTCAGGAATTGCTCTTGCTTCTGCTCACGCATGCTTAGGCTTACCAACCACGTGTTTAAGACTTAAGATGTTTGGCCTCCTAACATTCGCACGGCAGCTGCTAAGGATTTAACAAAGATCATTCAATCAACACCTTGGGCGCTTGTTATGGAGATGGGAGGGGCGCGTTGGAGCCTTACCTTCTTTGTGCCAATGTTTTGCCATTGGCTTGTCTGATTGTGCGCCTTTTATCTCTGTTCAGGCCTGTTACATGGCAAATGATGCAGCTTCCAGCTTCCAACACTGGGGCACACATTGTTTACATGATGTTTTACGTGTTTCTTTAAGGCCTGTTTTTGTTTGCATGAATACTTACATGAAGAGTGACGTGGTTTGTTACATGACTATTGGCCGGTTTTAACCTCCACAGAGATAGAGGCTAAGTTTTGGTCTAAGGTATGTAGCTTTCTGATTCCCATGCTCGACCCAGGGGCCAAGCGCTCCGGGAAAAGAGGGTGATGAAAATGCTTCGCACACCCTTCGCCCGGCGACCAAGCAAGGGGCTGGGTTTGACCATTGCGCTACATCTGAATGAAAGTGCGAGAAGGGAATTTAACCAGCTTGAAGAGCCTGTTTTGACTTGAGGTGGTGCGCCTCATCGGCACTTTCAATATGCAAGAGCACGTGGGCTACTTGCTAGAGGACGGGCGTTGGCGTCCGCAGGCTCTTGGCAAGTTGTTTCTGTAACACGGTTGTGTTTCAGTATGATGGTGGCTTTTTTGGGCCGGCTTAAAAGGCAAATAGCAGGAAGATCACTTCCAACAAGAGTGTCCCATTTTGTGGGAGACCATACCGATGCCCTATAGGACTGTTGCAACTAGTCAAGACAAGATCTGTCATTCAAACAGGCCCAGCTTGGCACGCAGTGCAATGTCAATGTGATGGCCAAGGCGACTGTGTGTGCGTGTGTGCGTATGTTGGTTTTCAAGTACGCGTTGAAAGCATTTTGTCGCACCTTCCAGGCAGTGGAGGATGTGGGCGTTGAAAGTTCAACAAACACGGGACGAGAGGATCAAAAGCCTGGTTTCCAGGCCTGCTTGGGTGGCGAGCTCTTTGCGACCTACGAGCGGCTAAAGCTGTACGGCGGGGGAGCGGGGGTCGAGGGAAGGGTGTCGGGGTTATCCACTTCTTTGCTTAGCGATGAGCCAGCTTGTTCCCTCAAACATTCGTCGATACTGACAATGTTTGGCTCAAGTTTGACGAGTTCCGTCACGCCTCGGATGGGCGTCGCCGAACTCCAGCGTCGACCGACGTTGTCTCGGGGGAGAAAGAGACCTCGGGCCGCCGTCAGGTTGGTTGGAACCCTTCGTGCGGTCCATCGTCGACCAAGGTTGTGGGCAACTCTTTTATACTTGTTTTGGTTTACTTGTGGTTGTTCGGTTGCTTGTACGTTGGAACCCCTGATCTTTGGGACTAGGGATTGGTTAGTGTTTGGAACCTTTCTTTGTGGCTTGTTTTCCCAACTTAACCATTTGCCTGGGCACAGGTTCGTGCCCCAATCACAGGTTATCAGCCGTAGGACTCTCCTACGTGCTCGTGACCTTCGACTACGAGATCTATGACGTCAACCCCACGATCGCAACGGAGCGTCGTGGATGAGGAGGCTATCCTAGGAGGCCTCCGCTCAGGTGAGGAGCAGCCGGACATCGACTACGAACACTTCTTCGGTTCGGCTGGGCTTGGTCCTTCAAGCGAAGATCCCGGTAGGGATGATGATCAGGACCGGGCAGGTACCACGGACGATGGTGATGATCGCATTTTCCGTCGGGGTACCGACGTTGAGGAGACACGGAGGACAGGTCCCGGTAGGGACGATCCACCGGCAGGTACGCGGACTCAGGAATGGCTTCGACATCCCGACGGGTCACCGCAGGCTTTCTCACCAGGCGAGTTCCAGGAACCACCAACGCGTAGGGGCGGTAGCCCTGCCGAAGGTTCCCGAGGGGTTTTGAATAGGGCTGCGGGCGGTAGCCCAAGGCCGAATCAAACCCGTGAAGTTCAAAATCCCGGCCAACTTGATGGTATCGAGTTTCAAACTAGGTCTGATGACGAAGTCGCTGGCGGGGACCTTGCTTCCATCTTTTCTTCCACCGTAGGCTGGGGAGGAGCGTGTCCAGCAGAACAGGATGCCGTTGGGCATCAACTGGAACTTGTAGACAGGTGGGATCGCGGTTTTGCTGCGGAGGAGTTTGATGAGGACCGCGAGGCAGCTCGTGCAGATGCTGTCGATGAGGAGGAGAGTAGGGACATTGCCAGGGGAAGAGCCAATCACGCCGGTAGGCGTGCACGCAACATTGGTGGGCTGGAGGAATATCGAATGGTGCTGGACGGCTCTGATGAAGGAAATGAGCCGGCCTACGTCGACGTTCGTACCGCCTACATTCCTATGGACCCTACCCCTGCTCCGGATGATCAGAGGGACCTCAATGAGGATAGTGACAGGCGACCTCTTTGGGTCAGGGAGGAGGAAAGCGAGCCGATCCTGGAAGGCCTTGATGATGTTTTGAGGCGTACCAGCCGATCATGGGCCACACGTCCTTCCGACCCTCCTAGGATCTTTGATGTTCCTAACATTCCTCCGTTTCCCAACATCACGTTCAATAGGGTTCCGGGTAGGCCTGATGTTCAGGGGAACGAAGCTGGTGATCCCGAAGTAGTCCGGAGAGCTAGGGAGCTGTTGGCTTCTGAGCGGTTCGCTGAGATCATGCCCATGAGTGCGGCAGGTCTTCTTGGTAGCCCGTTAGGGCAGGAGATCCATGATGTCGAGCCGCTCAGGTCTAGCAATGAGTTCACTCCTCAATGGGGGGAATCTAGTCGGGAGAGGAGCGCGTCTGCCAAGCGTCCTTCGCCGGTAGGCGCAGCCGAGGAGAGGTCCAAGGCTAGGAGAGCTAGTCCGAAGCCGCCCGGAGCGAGTGCTGGAGATGCTGACATGCCTGATGCTGCGGACATCCCCATCCTGTCAACTCCCGAATCCCGCAGGTCCGAAGGTGCCTCTCATTCCGGCGTTAGCCGAAGGAGAGGAGAAAGCCCATTCAGGCGTTCAAGGACATCGGACCGATCGCCACCCCGAATCTCCCATGCCCGCGGTAGCGGAGGGGAAGTTCCTGAAAGGGTCGAGATATCGACGCCTCCCGCAGTCAGGTCCAGGTCATCCAGGGAATCTGAACCAGGACGAGACGATCTTCATGCGGACCTCCAGCTGATTGCCGAGAGAGGTGAGGCTTCAGGACCGGTTGTCGCAATGTTGATTGCATTTGCCGATCAAATCCGTTCTTTGGAACAACAGATGGATTTGATGCATGAGTCTTGGCATGAGAAACATAATCACATCATGAACCGCGTCGAGCGTCTCGCTAATGACGTAGGTTCACTCACCGACGCAGGTCGAATGCGGACGGTAGTCCAACAGTTTGCAGGTGAGATAATTCCTGACACCAGGATGATCGTCAGGGCAGCCATTGACGAGCAGAGTGTCATCATTGACGAGAGGATTAACTCTCTTGCTGCGGAATTGCAGAACTCCGTTAGGAGCTTGGAAAACAACACTCGCATCACCAAGGAGCTGATCCATGATAATCATGTGCTCATCCACCGCGGTCAGGTTGCCTTTGAGGACAGAACCCGAATTGAGATCGAGAAGGTGGAACGCCGAATTGCTTCGGTAGAAGCGAGTTCAGTGTCCAGCTTTGTCAGGGCCTCTGGTGACGGTAGTCGAATTACCCTTGCGAATGTTTCTGACAGGCTTGATACCGTCGCTCATGAAGGAGAGAACTTTGGCGTTTGGGCCGCTGCGAAGATCGACGAGATCGAGGAGGAGATCAAGAACCTCACATCCCGAATTGGAGGTGAGGAAGAAAGCAGAGGACGCCTCACGGGCGAAGTGCAATTCCTCCGGTCGGACATAGCTACGCTTGGCATTGGCCCTGCTGACCAGGCTGCAGCCCCTACGCAGGCGGTTGTCGCGCCGAGGAACTGGTAGGAGATGTTCAACGCACTTTACCGAAAGGTTGAGGAACTCGCCTCCCGGGTCAGAGCCGAAGTTCGCAGGAGCGCTCAAAATCAAGAGCATCAAGCAACGATGGATACTAGGCTGAATGCTTTGACTGCGAGCACGGAAGGAATTGGGAGCGGGCTTAGAGCTCTGAGGGTCCAGGTCAGAAATGCCGTGACTAGTGGAGCTCCTGTTGCCGGCACGGACCATATTCAGAGCGTCGTTAGACGAGAGTTGGTCCATTATCGCGAACAGGTTGACGTATGCAATCGGAGACTTGTCACGGTAAGGCAAAACATTCAGGTGTTGACCGATATTAGCAACACCACGCAGGAGAGGATTGCTGGGGTCGAGGCTGTTCTTGAGCAGACCGTTGAAGATACCGTCGCCCGTGGGCAAAGGGCAACAGCTCCGGGTCCGGGGTTTGTTGCGTTTGTCGGCCAACCGCACAGGGTGAGATCTCCAACACCTAATCCCAGTGACAGAGGAGGCTCTCGAGGCAATGCTGCTGGAGGACAACCCAGGAGTGTTAGCCCACTCAGCAACCGCTCCAGAGGAACGACTACCCAGAGTATGTCGGCCGGGATCCGAGATGACAGCAGGACAGGCAGGCGCCCTATATCTCCCGGTAGGGATGATTCCATACGCAGGGGATATGGCCACGGTCGGGAAGATGAAAGGACACGTGATCGATCTTTTTCCCCTCCTAGGCCTACTGAGACTCAGGCCGAGAGCCGAAGGGCGAGAGAAACCCCCGGTAGGGGAGCTGGACGGGACCCTCAGGTTACCACCAACGCCCGAGCCCGCGATAGCGAAGCTAGGTCCCCGGAGCCCAGTCGAACTGATCCTCGGAGAGCAGATAGAGACACCCGGGCCGGTAGGAACCGCGGTGCTGCTTCACATGAACGCGAGGACACAGGTGGGCGCGGAGCTGCTGAAGGGCATGGCAGGACTGCTGATCCTGCCCCTGCTGCTGCGGCTGGACCTGGAAGAGGACCTGGGGAAATGTGCGTGAAGGATGACCCAGCTGATCGACGGCATCCTGAAGCTCGTTGTAGCTGTGTTTGCCGGAAGAGTGCACAGGAAGTGTGCATGTTCTTTTGCTCGAACTGTGAGAGGAACATCTGTGACTCACACACCTTCCTCGGGTACGACAATCGCGAACGTTGCTCTAGGTGCCACAACATGCATGAGCGAGAATGTTGAAAAGGGGCACCACCTCCTCCTCCTGGTGATGGTAAGGGAGGCGCTGGCGGGAAAGGATCGCGCGGGCCTCCTGATGATCATGGGCCGTACGGTGGAGGAAAGGGACATCCTGGACCTTCTGGTGGCATGTCGAGCGGGGGGTACCCCGGAGGAGGATCGCCTGGTTTCGCTGGAACTGCTGTCGATGCCCACGGTAGTGGTGCTCCTCAGGATGCTGCCAGTTTCTATGGGCCGATGTACGGTGGAGGGGTAAACTCTAGGGGTGTCGGGGCCGGCGGTAGCCGTGCAAATGACGCAGGTGGGTACCCTTCTAGCGTTGGAGGGGGGAGTAACCCTGGAGCTAGCTCCGGGCAGTATCCCCACTTCTCAGGCGAAGGTAGGCAGGGTGATGGCGGTCTGCTTCCCGACTCCATTAGGGGCGATGAGGGAAGGAACAGGTGCACGAAATGCAGTCGGCTGACTGCGCCCGGCCACCCGCTCATTCCATGTCTTGGATGCAGCATGTCGGCATGTGACACATGTTGCCCTCTCCCAACACGGTTGTGCGAGCAATGCAGGTCCGTAACCAGCACCCCGTTAGGGGCTATGCTGTCGAACGTTGCCAGTGGTCAGCAGCCTCATGACAAGTGTCCTACGATTTCGTTGCCGCCTGAGCCGACCCCTGACAAGTTGAGGGAATGGATTTCAGAGGTCAAGGAGAGGGTCAGGAACGCTTTCAGCTTCGACTCGAACTACGCGTTAGCGTGGATCTCTGAGACTGAGCGCCTCAATTATGAGCAGCTTGATGGGCAGTGCAGGTACCCAGTGCTGGATGCCAGGTTCACTACAGCCATTAGGGACTGCATTAAGACAAAGGCCGTGAAGGACAAGATGCATCGGTTGACCG